GGTTGCTTCCCACACAGTGAGGCAGGAGCCGAGTTCGGGCATTCCCGTGTCCCGTGGTGCTTAACGAGGCACCAGCAGATAGCAAGGCTCAGGTGGGCGAGTGGAAAGACGGGAGATTACCGCTCGAGGTGGCGAGGAGTAAGTGGGGATGTGCTGTGCTGGCGGCTGTTTCCTCGATGGGCGTCACTTGCGATCCCGGCTGCTCAGCCAGCCGGCGCCCGCCGCCGTGCCCGCCACCTGGAGGGCTGTTCCCCCAGTTCTCCCTCACCCCCCCAGTTCTCCCTCACCCGTTTCGAGGCTTTGCTTCCGCGCGAGGCCTTCCCGAGACCCGTTTGTAAACCTTAGGGCCCACCCCTTGCTCCCGGACTGACGGGGCGGGCGGTGTGGCCTGACGCCGGCCTCCTGTCCCGACAGTGCTGGGCCGCCCCACCCTCTCGGTGCAGCAGACCCCCGAGGGCAGCCTGCTGGCACGCTGGGAGCCCCCAGCCGGCACGGCGGAGGACCCGGTGCTGGGCTACCGCCTGCAGTTTGGCCGCGAGGACTCGTCCCCCCTGGCCACACTGGAGTTCCCGCCCACTGAGGACCACTACACAGCTTTGGGCGTGCACAAGGGGGCCACGTATGTGTTCCGACTGGCAGCCCGCAGCCGAGGCGGGCTGGGCGAGGAGGCGGCTGAGGCCCTGAGCATTCCCGAGGACACGCCCCGTGGCCACCCGCAGATCCTGGAGGCGGCGGGCAACGCCTCGGCCGGCACAGTCCTGCTCCGCTGGCTGCCACCTGTGCCCGCCGAGCGCAACGGGGCCATTGTCAAGTACACGGTGGCGGTGCGAGAGGCCGGTGCCCTGGGCCCCGCCCGAGAGACCGAGCTGCCCGCGGCGGCCGAGCCGGGCGCCGAGAACGTGCTCACGCTGAAGGGCCTCAAGCCCGACACAGCCTATGACCTCCAAGTGCGGGCCCACACGCGCCGGGGCCCTGGCCCCTACAGCCCCCCCGTCCGCTACCGGACGTTCCTGCGGGACCAAGGTAGGCGCGCGGCGACCCCGCACCGAGACGGACCGGGCCTCGCGCCCACCCCCACCCCAGCCCCTCCCCTCTCCCCTGCCCAGGTAAGTGGTCACTTTTCTGCTTCCTCGTGGATGCTTAAGGCGAAGTCCGGACCCCGAGGCTCCGGCGTTGGCAAAGGTGGGACGTGCCAAGGTGGCACCGCCGCCCCCACCACCCCTCCCCCCCCCTCCGCCTTCTCTCCGCAGCCGCGCCGTCTCCCACCGCAGGGACTTGGGACAGGGCCAGGCAGGGCCGGGCCAGGGCCAGGCAGGAAGGCCGTGGGCACAGGCACAGCGGACGAC